CGGGGCGCAGAATCACGAAGAGCAAGCATCCCTCCACAACTGCATACAGCTTGCGGCATGCTTGGCCTGGAATGGGGGCTTGTCCAAAGAGCCACAGGTCCCCTCCACTCTGAAACCTGTCTCCTGGTGACCCACGCACGGTAGAGGCCAATCAAGGGGCATCTATCCTTACCGAGCAAGACAATTCTTTAATTACTTAACCTTTCCACTGGTGAACACATGTGCGTGTGTCCCTGTAGTACTGCCCTTAATTGTTAATCTGATGCACTTTTCTCACCGTGAATTAAAGATCAGTATCACCCCTATCCCTCTCTGGCTTAAATGCTTATTGAAACTAATAAAGTCATCCCACGATTCCTTTCTTCGGAACATGCTTTGGGCCAAATCACAGCCATTCGTTATGGCCACTCACACCAAGGTCTGGCTGCAGATGTCAAAGGCTAGGTTGAAGGTACCCTGTAAATGCACTTCAGGATTCCGATGGTGCCAAACATCGATGGCAGCAGAACAGGATAAAAGGTCGGATCTTCCGATGATACATTCATCAGCTGTCCCAGGTCTTAGGGCATATTATGGTGACACCAACCACGTTAGCAGGAGCGAGTCTCGATTTCCTGTAGAGCTACAGAGCACAAGACACGGCAGAGGGAGCTCATGATCACAACCCTCCAGTAAGGGCATAATCTCTGCACGGCAACGCCACGTCCCCCACGACTCGTACTTTCCATCATTCCCACGGTGTGCTCACTTCCCTTTGGGGACCGGTCAGGGATCGGGGTTTGTTAAAGTCGCAAAAATGAGATCTTATCACTCCAGGAAGTCAGTGATTAAAAACAGAACTGTAGCTCTTTTCCGAGTTGTGGATTTGTTCTCTTCAGTGCTGAAGGTCCAAGAGATGTCCCATCCTTAGCGTAACTGAAAGTTACTAGCATTTGTCTCACTTCTAACTGACAACCTCTTAGAATACGCACGCACTGACATTGAATACGTTCCATGCATATGGAACACATCCTGTATTTGTTCAATACGCATTGAACGTGGGGGCCTGGACAACAGAACACTTGTGGTGAAGTTCATAGGAATTTATGAAGCCGGTGACTGGAGATCATAAACTACACAAATCACGCGGGTGCGTATAAAGCCATCATCCTTGAAAACATCCTCTTCAGCCTGAACGTCTGTATATTCGCAGAGAAAAAGACAGTGGTTTCTTTCAACTTAAATGTTGTTCCTAGCCATGAAGCCCTGTTTTCGATGTATCTGGGGCGGAAAGGGGCCAACATTTCTGGCTCCTCGTGCTGCAGAGCGCCCAAGGTTCACCTCGCTCTGCCGAGGACGATGTGAAACGCCTCTCTCATTCTACCTACTGCCATTAACCTTCTAAAATGTGGCCTTGACTTACGCGAAAGAAAAACTACTTTGTGAATAAAATTAACTTGCTGAATTCACCTGTTACTGTGCGGCCTCTGATTTCTTTTCAGAATAAGCAAATACCTCTCCATCTCCATGGTAATGAGTATATGGACATCAGAGCTCCTGTGAGAATTACCAGGATGCCTTCTACTTTGGGGGCATGAAGACTGGGACTCTTCCGCTTCCATCTGTAAATTTCCCTGGTCTTCTTCCACCTCCTCTGTACTCAGACCTAAGCGGTAAGTCGGCAGAGTCTTCATGGTCCACTCCGACTGAGAAAAACAGCCTTCACAGGCATTTTGCTGTGCTTCTTGATCCAGGTTGTACTATCACCCATAGGGCTTTGGCTATTCACTCCAAAGTGTGGAGCCTCGAATTCCTCCACAAGAAGACATCTCTTCTTCCCATCTCGTATGGATGTTTTGTGACAAGAAGGAGGTGATGTGTGTGGCGAAATGTGTCCCGGGTGACGTGTGTATCTCCAGTCCATGGCGGGTCACGCACAAGCACTCCACAAGGGTCACTTACACTGGAACATGTCCCAAGCTGAGCTGCCATTTGCACTGTGCACCCGAGCTGGCTCTGATTTACAGAGCCCGGAAGAGACCGATGGCCAAGGGAGCAAGCCGATGGCTGTGGGATCCTTTGCTCAGGACACAGAGAGAGGGCTGGGAATCTCTTAGAAATCCACAGTTCATTCCTGCCTGTAAGAGCAACACGGACTTCTTGCTAATTGAATTGCATTAAGGATGACCTGTCTCTTGCATTACGATACAGCTCATAACATATGGTGTGGTGAGCTAATTATCTAGCTTCCCCATAGAAGCAACTTCCCAAGATAAATTTGATCCCTAAGAGTAAATTAGGAGGAGGCACCATGGAGTGCACGGTGATATATTCCAAACCTCTGCTCTCCTCAACACAGAAGAGTGTACTTTACTCCAGGGGCACACTTGCAGCAAATTTGGCTAAAGAGACCTCATTTGAGAGCATCACCCACCCACGAAGCATCTTTGCCTCACGCCCTTGCCATCCACAACTCCATACCTCACGTGAGCATCTGCAGTATCAGTCGTTCCGGAGACAAGGCTTAGAGAAAGAAGATAAATTTTAGAAGCAAGAGTTTAAATCATCTTCCTCACTACTCTCAACGTAGGAATTGCATGGGAACTGTGCACCCCCAAACAATCTTTTATGTTAAACGCACGAATTTCACAAACACTGTCATCGCTTTTGGTCATTTTCCTTCTGCTCCTAAGTCTGAATCCGTTCCTCACACAAAGGTGGTAAAGACCTGCCTACGTTATTCAGGATATGCTGGTCAATGATGCAACACTTATAAATGCATCTTCAGATCCTCAAAATAATATTTTTTTGCAAATACTGTTATGTTTCTTTGGTGACATATTGAGGGGATTCTCAAGATACATGGCTATCCCATGGACTGAATCAGATGTCACACATCGCACAAGACGACAAATGTAGCCAAGGATGGTTTTATCCAGATGCTTTCGATCTTTGCGTCTTTAGGTAACGCAGGGAAAAAGCTTTCTGTGAATAGCATCACGGCACACAAAAATGCGGTACTTTCACTAATACTGACCATGCACGTGCTGCGCCAACACTGGCAATAGGCATTTCCTCTGGAACCATCTGTTGCGAAGAATAAACCCTCCTGTAGTAACTCAGTAACCACAAGGTTCAACTGTGGTGTTGCTACAACATCTTAAATCTCTAGTTCTGCCGCAAAATTGCAGAAACTCCACATCATCAAGATCAACTGCATAGGCTTCAAGGCCCTTACAATCAAATTGCTTTCGGTCCCCTCCCAAAGTCACGTGCTGAGGAACCCATTAAAATGCCTTGTAATCATCTGAATATTCATATTCTCTACAGATTCAATCATTTCTGTCAAAATACCGCATGTTTGAGAGAAGGAAATCATCTGGACGCCGGGGATGATTCCTGAACCCTGTGATTTTTTCAGGGGGCCCTGGATTGTTCATCTCCTCCCATATGTTTCTGAGAGATTGCTGGTAGATGCAGGCCGATAGGTGAGCGTTCAGCTGTTTTAGCAAATTTGGGAAACAGCACACTGCTGGGTTTTGAGCTTCGACGGACAGATCTACAATCCTATGGGGAGCCATCCTATCTTGGAATGGCTGTTAGCTTGCTTATAAAACGCAGCGAGGTTAACCCACGAGGTAAGAGCTTCTTTATCCACGTGGACTGTGCCCCACTTTCGAGTGATGACATTAATTTACTGTCCCAGCCAGAGAGATTTTTAAAAAAAATAAAACGCAGCGCAATAAGATGGAAAGTATTAGAAGTGATCACTCTGCTAGAAAAAAACAAAGAGAACTTTGTTTCTATTAACCGTCTCTGTCTATCTTACTAGATGACGATATAAAATATAGACCTCATAAAGCGCTGAGATTTTGCATCCAATCACAAGGCAGCATCCCCTTGTAGAAAAATCTACAGGCGTAACAACAGTTGTGACTTTTGCAAAAACCCAGCCATGCTCCAGTCACTGCTCCGAGTGTCCTAGAAGATGTGGGGTTTAGACCCTCTCCGGGCACATGCAGCCTTGTCTCAGCACTCCACAGTCGGAATCTTGGAGAGGTAAGACTGGCAATCCTCAGTACTCACCACCTCTGGGTTCTGCTAACACAAAGCCTGAGCAGTTGCTACTCTGGTTGTGTAGGCCAACAGTTAGGCTTTACGTAGGCACCACTAACTCAATGGTACCTCCATGTGCCCATGATAACCACAGAAGCTCAGGAGCATGACCACCAGCTTAAAATCCTCCTCCTTCCGTCCAGAACCGCATTATGTCCTTCCTCCTGCCACTTTAGCTCGGACCCATGGGTGGCTCCAAGTCTTTGGTGCCTGAGAAACTCACGTTCTCAGCATGTGCCTGGCAACTGACCACACAGACGAGGTGTCTGATTTTCACATGATTGTTTCCACCTTTCTCTAAAGTTCCAAATGGAACAACATGGTTTTGTCTGGTTTGGATAGCAGGTGTTCTTGAGATAGTCTCTACTCGGGACTGCCATCGACGCCTCTGTGGATGGTGATGTTCCCTTTGCTCACTGCAACCCTCAACGCTGTGCACCCAAGGGGCCCTAACCGACCTAATAAACGAGATCATTCGCTCCACCCAGGCTCCTCATACACATGTTCTGCTCAGAAATTTTCATAGACTGTTTGGACTTCCCTATGTTGTTTCTGTCACAAGAAGGACACCTCTACTCACCCAATGCACAAGTCAAGAGTAACAACCGTGGTTACACCTGAAGCTCCTTTGGTCATCTGGGAGACATTTTTTGGCCTGGCTTCAGAAGCACAGGATGTAAGGGACACCTGGCAGAGCCCCTCGGATGAGAGCCCACTCCATCACACTTCCTTGCACGTGCCATTCCACGGTGCACACCCCTCCTCCCGAGAGCCTGGTTGGAGAAATCTCCGCAGCTAAGAAGGGGAAACGTGGCTAGAAGGACCACCCTGTTTCTCCAGCCTCCATGGAAATCACCAAGCACCAAGTGGCAACAGGCAGCATCCGGACAAAAGGAGATACCAACCGTTGCATGAACTGGGCCGCGTCCGCCGTCAGCCTCTGCATGAGGTTGTCGTAGGATATGGGCTGCTGGGTGATCTCATGGTTCCTCATCAGGAAGCAGTTCAGGGGCCGGAAGTAATGCAGGAAGCACACCAGAAGGCCGAGTATCATGGCGGCCAGGCAGAGAAGGCAGACGAAGATCCCGGGGGGCACATGCACCAGCCCCAGGCACTTGACCACCGCCAAGGTGAGGAGCGTGATCGCAATGATCTGAAGGGGGATGAAGACCAGCGCCCTGATGCCCCCAGTGAAGACGCTGCCTTCTCCGGGCTTGCAGTCCCTCAAATTGGTCATGGGGATCCCATGGAAATAGTCAAAGCCGTGGCTCAAGGGGTGGTGACAAAAGTCTGTCTTGTTGTGACAGTTTGTCCCAAGGTGCCACTTGCCTGAGAAGACAAATGGATGATACGTTTAGACCCAACAAACACTCCCACCTGAATGTCAGCTTCTGATTCCCACACACGGAAAAGCGGGACCGCTCTGCACATTTATTAGCCAAACTCCTATTCTGTAGAACCCCACGGTGTCTCGCTTCCTTTTCCACAAACAACAGGGCATTAACCACTCACTCGACCAGAAAACAATAACTTAGTGCTGAAAATAACGAAATAAAACAAAAGGCAAACACCTGACATAATTAATAGGCAGATGACAAAAATACATAGAAACACACAATTGTTTTTTAAAGACATTTCCTTAAAATTAAAGTCGTAGAACCAACTTGGTTTTGTCCCTTGAATATTAAAAGTGAAAATGAATCCTTTCTCAAAAAACTATCTCTGAAGCATGAGGAAATCACACTCACAACTCAGCAATTATTTTAAACATCTATGAACATTTCTTATAAAATGCTAATTACACCACTAAAGTAGTGAGTGCCTCAGAAAAGAAAAACATGATGATGGTTTTATGACAAGAGGTGGGAGGAAAGAGAATGGTCATTTTGCTTCTTTGAGAGATTTTAGGATTCATCTGATGACCCACATAGACCTATGCTTATCAAGTAAAAAGGGAGAATGGATCATTCCTATCAATTGAATAAAATCAATGAGAATGTCAACTGAGACAGAGTCTGACATGATTTTAGTATTAATATATAAGATGAAAATGTTCAATAGCATAGTGTTTATATGTAGTTTTGTATGCTGTATGGCTATTCACAGTTATCTATTTATCAATCTATTAGTTATCATCTGTCTCATCTCTGTGTCTCATCTATTCATCCATCATCCATTTATCCAACTGCCCATCATCCATCCATCCATCTATCCACCATCCATCCACCCATCACACACCCATCATCCATCATCCATCCATCCACCATCCATCCATCCACTTATTATTCATCCATTCATCCATTCATTATTCATCCAACCATCATCCATCCATCCATTTACCATTGTCCATTCATCTACCCATCCAACCATCATCCATCCTTACATTTAACCATCATCCATTCATCCACCCACCCATCATCCATCTCTCCATCCATTTAACCATCATCCATTCATCCATCCATCCATCCACCCATCACACACCCATCATCCATCCATGCAGCCATCATCCATCCATGCAGCCATCATCCATCCATCCACTTATCATTCATCCATTCATACATTATTCATCCATCCATCATCCATCCACCCATCCATTTAACCATCACCAAACCATCATGCATCCATCCATCCATTTAACCATCATCCATTCATCCATCCATCCATTTAACCATCATCCATTCATCCACCCATGCATCCATCCATCATCCATTCATCCATTCATCATGCATCCATCCACCATTCATCCATCCATCCATCCACCATCCATCCATCCAACCACCCATGATCCATCCATCCATCATCCATCCATTATCCATTTCATCTACTGATGTATCCATTCCTGCCTCTATCACCTATGTCATCTATCTTTCCATATATCCATACATCCATCAGTCCATCCATCTATCCATCCATCATTATCTATCAATCTCATCTATTTAACTATCTATCCGTTCATCCATACACACACACAAAACGACACATATTGTTACTTTCAAATAGCCCAGATAGGTGCACTGTACTTTAATTTAGAATTGAAATCATTTCTTCCCATGTGAAGTTGTGCAAACGGTTATCAGTGATGTCATCCTTAAGAAGGCAGTTATCATGCCCTCGCCCTCTCGCCCTGCCCAGGCCCTCGACTCCCCCTCCTTAGCTGCCCATACCTATCAGAGCGGTTGAATAGCCTTGATTCTTGAGAAGCTTGGCAAAGGTAATCTCACTGGTGGGAAGTCCTCCAGAAGAGGCCGAGAAGATAAACACCCCCGTGAGGGACTGAGATGCCATTCCTGAGGCAGGACAAAAGATCTATTGAAAGAGGAGGTCGAGGATGCCCCCAAGAGGACAACAGCCATGGCTATGGAGCCCGGGGGTTACCTGATCGGATGGGGTACCGGCCTGTCATGAACGCTGCCCTACTTGGTGTGCACAGGGGCGAAGCTGCCAGGTGGTGAGTGAGCTTCACTCCTCCTTCAGCCAACCGGTCAATATTGGGCGTCCTAGAACAGAAGGCTCATGTCATTCATGATGACCTTGAAACACGCAGTTCCCACTGTGCATTTTATAGTGGGTCACCTCTCAGTCATCCAGGGAAACTCCCAGAAGGACGGGTGATGCATTCTGGTGCCTCTGCCCTGGGAACGGACTGGCCGATCCTGTCGGGGTGTCATGCCACACTTGCCAGGCATTCAGAAATGAACCTCTTCCGGTTCTGGGACCACGCTGAGCTCTCATCCCACATCCTCCACTGGGAACGCAGCCCCTGCCTGTCTGCCAGCCTGGCTACCTTCCATCCTTCAGATCCTGGCAGAGACGGGTTTCTTGTGGGCCTCCTACCACCAACCTTGTCCCGTGATGGGGCCTGGTCCATGGGTAAGACACAGATCCTATCACAGCAGCTCCTCACTATAAAGGGAAGGCACAGCTAACTGCTTCCTCCTACACAGAGGCCCAGAGGCTGGAGCATGCATCTTGTTCATCATGGCCTGCAGGCCCTGCTCCAGTACCCACACAGACTAGCCCTTGCCAATGCACAGCTTGAAGGTGAAGGTCATTTCATTGCATTGCTCATGTCCACCTGCTCTCCCATCCATGAATTTAGTGTATGTATTTCACAATCAACATTTCCACGGTGCTTCTGCCTTCCATCACAAGATCTAGAAGGTTTAGAAGACCAAATCTGTGTACCTGACTTAAACCTCCTGGTGCCTAGACTGGCCCACCGAAACATCTGACTACTTTGGGGTGTGAGCTGACAAAATATAAAATGAAAAATGAAATTCATAAAGAATTGGAATCCAGTATGGAACAAGACAGATGTGGGGTACGTTGTGACATGAATTCTTCATTGTGATTGTGTACAGTTTGTTTTTTTTTTTTCTTTTGAGATCTGGTAGAAATGGAATGTTAAAACTTGACTGTATTTTGATTAAAACACCTGAGTAGGAAAGGTTATCTATTATCTCAGTGAAATTCACGAATACATATAATATTAAAAGTCACACAATATTTGTCTTTCTCTGACTGAGTGATTTCACTTAGCATAATACTCTTTAGTTCTATCCATGTCATTGCAAATGGCAAGATTTCATTCTTTTTGATGGCTGAGTAATATTCCACTGTGGAATTTAAGAAACAAAACAGATGAACGTAGGGGAAGGGAAGGAAAAATAAAATAAGGTGTAATCAGAGAGGGAGACAAACCATAAGAGACTCTTAAGTCTAGGAAAGACAAACTGCGGGTTGCTGGAGGGGAGGTCGGTGGAGGGATGGGGTACATGGGTGACGGGCATTAAGGAGGGCACGGGATGTGATGAGCACTGGGTGTGATATGAAACTGATGAGTCACTAAATACTACCGCTGAGGGGCACCTGGGTGGCTCAGTCAGTTAAGCGTCTGCCTTGGCTCAGGACATGATCCCAGGGTCCTGGGATTGAGGCCCGCGTTGGGCTCCTTGCTCAACGGGGGGTCTGTTTCTCTGATTCCCGCTGTCTGCCCCTCCCCCCCAGCTTGTACTCTCGCTGTCAAGTAAATAAATAAAATCTTAAAAAGAAACTACTACCCCTGAAGCTAATAATACGCTATATGTTAATTAATTGATTTTAAATAAAAATAAATATTAATGGTAAAATAAAGTGAAAAAATCATAAACAAAACTTAAGAAATGATCACGACTCTGATAAGAAGAACTAAATTAGTAGCAACAGAGGTACGAGAAGCGTCCAAAAGTGAGATCTAATGAGGCCAAAGGTGGGGCGGAAAACCTATGTGGCCAATTGAAATCTCATCCTTGTCCGTGTGTTTCAAGGTCTAACAAATGTAGGTGAGCACACATTCCAAACACGACAAGCAGCGTCTGATGCAAAGCTTCAGCGCGGGATGGACGCACACGTGCACGCCACGTTCTCCGCAAAAGAACAACAGATGCCCACTTTCTGTTTGACCTGACACAGAGCAATGCAACAGTGTTCCGAGCTGCACACCATGCGGTGCGGTGTGCGCTTCTCCCCCCATTGCGATGACCCCTGGAGCTTGGGAACTTGTGCAGGCGTCCAACCTGGCATCTGTCCTGTGCTACCTGTCCCCGGCCAGGCTGGCTGCTCATGGGGACAGCAAGAAGGCGTGGAGCTGGTCAGCAGGGACGGGGGCCGTGGGGGGGAGCCAGTACCCCACAGACAAATTGGCCTAAAAGAGTGGGAGCAATGGAACGGAGAAAAGGGCGGGACGGGTGGAAAGCAGCACGGTATCTCTGAGTAAGAAAGAGTCCTTACGAAGATCTTTCTCGCGGTCCCTCTGGGTTTACCTCGTGCAAACAGATCGCGTCCCACCCGCCTTCCTAACGCCCGTACGCATGTGCATCTCCGTAAAGCCACACATGCACCTGTGTGCCCGGAAGGGCTCTGACACGTGTAGGCGTTCTGCGCTCCGTGCACGTGAGCTCACGTCCCTGCCGTCCAGCTCCTCACGCAGCAAGCCCGTCCCGCACCTGAGCGTCTCGTTCCCATAGCAACCAGGATCTCCGATGCCAAGGTCGTCGGCCATCAGCAGGACGAAGTTGGGCCTTGAGGCTGCGTGGCTGTGGGCCTCAAACAGGAACAACAGCAGTAGGACACGGATCTTCATCTTCCTGCAAAGGCCAAGCACACAGACGGACGTGAAGGACGCCAGCGTGTGGCACACCATCTCCTTTTGTGGGACCTTCCCCCAACCCGTCCGCCCCACACAATATGTGCTCCAAACACACGCTGATGCATCGCCGGGCAAGGAACCTGATGCTTTTGTTTCCAAAGCAAGCATTTCTTCCTCCAAGGACAGCAGTGACCTCCCATTCCTTCCCAACGCGAAAACATACGCTCTGTTTGGAAAAATGCAAACACGATCACGGGCCACCTCTTCCTGGGGGGCCAGCTCCATAATTCGCTAGAAGTTCTCTATTTGAGCCCTGGATCGACTAGCACTCCAAAGTCATCTCTTTTCTAAAAATTATCTTTCTTATTTTTTTTTTTTTTAAGGGAAACACAGGTACATATTTCCAAACTCAAGGAGCACCAGGTTCAATGGCTGAGGCTGCAGGCCCAGGTGCTGGATAATCGCTTAGAGCAAATGCACCCAACGTAGGGAACCCACAGCATCATCACAACACACACTCACACTGGGTGACATCCACACCCTTATCCCTGCAAGCGGTGAGCAAGTGACGTTCCAGACGGAGGGGCCTCTGCACATGGCATTCCAGATCTTGCAATAGGGAGATGAGCCTGGATCGTCCAGTTGGGCCCAACACACTCATAAGTGTCCTCACAAACGGGAGGCAGTGGGGCATTTGGTAGGTGACAGGAACAAAGGAGGGGTCCGCGGTGAGCAAAGCAAGGTAAAAGGTAACGTAATGCGGGGCCAGGAGCCCAGGAGTGCAGGGGCCGGCCTTCTAGAAGCCGCTAAAGCCGGAAGTCCCAAAGGGGCCCGCTGACACCCTCATTTCAACCCCATAAGACTCCCTCCAGACTTCCTATCTCCAGAACGTTAGCATAAATGAATTAGCGTGGTTTTAAACCTCCAGGATGGTGGTAGTTTGTTACAGTATCAAGGGAAACGGATTCATGCAGAATAGGAACCAGGTGTATTGTATGCTGTGTCTCTGTTCACTGCTCCGTCCTACAACACAGAACAGTCCGTGCCACGTACTGGCGTTCATGTTTTGGGCTGCGTCGTGTTAGAGACTTTGCTCGTAGATACCCGGGGTACCTGGTGGTCTGCTCCCCTTGAAGGGTAGGGCACGGGAAGCCGGATGGAAGGCCTGCCTGTGTGTGTGTGGGTAGGATGAGCTGTCAGGACCTGGGAGCCTCTTCTTCTAACCTGTGTCTCCATGGAGCACCCCTCAATCTCCTGCTTGGGGCTGGGTCCCTCTGGCGGGTCACCTTCTGCAACTGCAGTGGGGCGAGTGGGTTGGCTGCCCTCCCTTCCCAACATGGACATTGATGACTGTGCCTCGATCCGACCCCCGTTTCCCTGTGTCCCAGCTGGGCCTGATACCCCGAGCTCAGAGCCTCCCTGATGGACTTTCTCCAATGACCCAGACTTTTCCCTCCCGGGGCTGGCTGACAAGGGGGCCCTGCCAGGTCTGTAGCCTTCAGACGGGGACCTAGAAATCCAATCTTCCACACAGACGTGCAAACCATCCTCAGGTTTCCATCCTCACTCCCGACCCCATCTTCAGAACTACCTGGAGCTTCTGCTTTCTGGCCCTTTCTGGGTCCTGGGATGCTAAGTTCAGTCTTCCTGCTGGCTTCTGCGTCCACAGACAGGGAGGGACTCCCTTCCTGTCTTTGGCTAACCCCACTCCTGCTCTGCCATCTTCCATCCTTGTCTAGCCCTCTCTTGGACAGGGGGTGGGGGTCAGTGTCCCTGTCCCACTGGAACCAGAAGGCTGACCTCCTTGGAATCACATTCTCTGCTCTGTGGGCAGACGTTGGTGTCCCACTTCATCTGGCATCTGCCTCCCTCCCCACTCTGCTCCCCGTCCGAGTGGTTCTCAGCCCCAAGCCTGTGTTCCTGTCCGTTCAGAGCCAGAGCTGAGGCAGGGGCTACAGTGGGGATGCTGTTGACCAGGCTACCCGGCCAGGGAGAGGCCGGGCCCCCTGGCCTGTGGGGGCAGCAGGGAGGCGTGCAGGACTCTCTCCTCTCTGGACATACCCTCTGACGTTAGGTGGTCTCTGCAACCGAGCAAATGAGCGACCAACGACAACTTGTGTGGATACGAGGCTGGAAAGATGCTCTCTTTCCTAACCACACTGGGGACCCCACGATGGCAGTGCCTGGGGAAACAAAGACCCACAGCAGCCATGTGAGACAAAGCGCTGACATTCTCTCTCTGCTGCATTAACAATACCTCGCTCCAACTCCACCAAAGAGGAGATTAACGAGGACGGTACCCTGTGTTTTAGATGGTTGGAAGGATTTATGGGTAATAGAACGATTCCAAAATTAGCATCCATCTGTCAGCATGAGGACTGACACACAGGAGAGGTCTGAGGATGACGGAAGACCCCCATTAGGGATGCCCACGGAATGCGGAGGGTTGGCACGGCAGGGGTCCCTAAGTGAACTGAACGCCTTGCAAAGCCGTAACTAATACCAGCGACATATAAAAGAGCATGCTCACTAACCTCCCGTCCCCACAAGGACGCCACGGGGGGCGTTCACACCCAGAGGAGCCGACAGCCACAATCCAGCGGTCACGTGCTTCCAACTCCTTAGTCTTTTCACGCTTCGCTTCGTATAGAAAATAAATAAATACAACTTCTTACTTCAAAACCCCAGGTTTCTGAGTGCGTGCAGGCACTCTACGTGCTTTGCCTAGTTCTCTACCGAGTCAGCTCTGTGAAGAAATACCGGGAGCAGGTGCTCATCACCCTTATTATTTTAATTCTATTTTTCTACTATTAATGATTTGTTACGTAAATAAATGATGATTGGTTCTTAGCTTACTGCTGTCATAAACAGGGTTTCCCAGCCTTGGCATGACCGGCACTCGAGATGGAAGAAGTCCTCGCTGTGGGGCTTGCTGGTCACTGGACGATGCTCGGCGGCACCCCACGAGCAAAACCACCCCCCACAGACAGCCTCCGAGTTCCTGCCTGCCTGCATGTGTAAAGTCATCCGCCACCCTTCCCGGCATCTGTAAAGTCATCCGCAACATCTCTGCATCCTGCACCTTCCACTCACCGCCTCTGCTCTCCCACACAAGCAGCTTGGCGTCTACGGAAGAATTCGGAAACGGCCACCCATCCGAGTAACCGTGAATTTCTCCCTTGGACCCACAAGTACATTTTCAATGCTGACAGATGATGTTCCTCGGCCAGGAGAGGCCCCCAGCACTTACCGAAGCCTTTCAACTCCCGCGTATGTGGGCACCAATCTCGGGAAGGGTCTTCGAAGAGAAAGGCCCTGAGCATACCTCCTTCCCTGGCTTTACCTGCCTCCTGTCACCGGTGTGTCTGCCATGTACCAGCTTCCCTGTTCACCAGGAGAGACCCATCTCCCAACACTCATCTTGTCCGCTGCCTTTAGGAACCCAAATCACAGGATGCTTACCCTCACGCGTCAATGACCCGAAGCAACAGCTTCCGCTCTGTCCACACCTACTTCCGCTCCCCGCTCTTGCATCTCTCTCTCTCCCTCTCAAGCATCCTCCCTTCTCAGAGAAGCAAACTCTGCTCCCCACTCCTCCCGTACTCTAAAGACAAGCACGCAGGGACCCGTGGTTCTGACTGCAGCAACTTGCTCATCCCTAACGCTGCCCTCGATTCTCCCTTTGTTGGCGTTTTCTCCCTGCTTGTCGGGAAGTAGGGGAATGTGTGCAGAATTACGAGTCAGGGGTTTTGTCCCTGTTCAGGCCACCAGCCACGAGGTCTTGGGCACAAAGCACCAGCTGCCTGTGCCTCGGGCTCATCCACCATTCACTGCAATCCTGTCTGTGCCATGGGGAGTCAGCGCACATGGTGGAAATAAAGGGTTTCCACACAACCGGGATCTCAGGGACCCCTGCACTCCCGTGTTCTCTGCAGAGTTCACGGCAGCCAAGGCTCAGGAACTAGCCAAGCATCTGCCAACAGATGCATAAAGAAGACACATTCTCTATACAGACAATGGAATATTACCCAGCCGTAAAAAGAAGAAAATAGTGCCATTTGCTACAACAGCAATGAACTGGGGGTATGTGATGTCACACAGAAAGACAAATGCAGTATGAAAAGAAATGTGGGGGGCGTGGGGGGCTCTGTCGTTAGGCATCTGCCTTCGGCTCGGGTCGTGATCCCAGGGTCCTGGGATCGAGCCCCGCGTCGGGCTCTCTGCTCGGCAGGAAGCCTGCTTCTCCCTCTCCCGCTCCCCCTGCTTGTGTTCCCTCTCTCGCTGTCTCTCTCTGTCAAATAAATAGATAAAATCTTAAAAAGAAAAAAAAGGAAAAAAAAGAAAAATGTAGAATCTTGAAAAAAGAAAAGAGGTCGAACTCCCAGACGCAGAATGGAACACGCTCGCTAGGGGCAGAGACACGGGGGAGGCTGGTCCAAGGGGACACGTGTTCAGTTTGACGATGACCACGTCCCGCAGACCCGGTGGACGGCATGGAGACCACAGTTAGTAATACCGTGCTGTACACTTGCTACGGCCTTCAACAGTAGATCGTAAACATTTTTTTTTTTTTAATTTTATTTTTATTTATTTGACAGAGAGACAGCCAGAGAGGGAACACAAGCAGGGGGAGCGGGAGAGGGAGAAGCAGGCTTCCCGATGTGGGCCTCGATCCCAGGACCCTGGGATCATGACCTGAGCCGAAGGCAGACGCTTAACGACTGAGCCACCCAGGCGCCCGATCGTAAACATTCTCACCACACACCAAAACATGGTGAATAATAGGTGAGTTGATGAGTGTGTTAATTAACTGATTTGTGATCATCATTTCATAATCTGTATGTATATGATATCATCACATTTCCATTTCAGATGTATACAATTTTATTTGTCAGTTATACCCCAATAAAGCTGGGAAGTAGGGCAGGAAGAACATCCCCCTGCCACCCCACTAGGAAAAGAAAAAGAAAGAGAAGAAAAAGTCTCCAAAATGA